AAACTGCTTCCCCCTCTTACAGTGGTAGTCCATGAATCGCTGCATCTATATCAGCAAGATTTAAAACCAGTGACCCAAAGGAAAAATCAGAATCACAATCTTTCATTTATTATGCGCGCAGGTGTCAGTGAAAAATAAAGTAACCACTGGAATGTGCATCTCTATTACACCTTCTGGCTGAGCGCTTTTCCAGCGAAATTTATGGCGCAACACCGATTTTTGTCTCTCTGGGACCAGCTACTGATGTAGAACCCTATTTATGAAACGACTCATTCAGCCGTGGACAATATAAAAATATTCAGGAAACAAAAAAATAATTATCATTTCATTATATATCAGAAATTAATGTATAAATATAGCAAAACAGTAACCAATATAATATTTTATATCAGAAAAAGGAGGGTTGTAAGCTTTGCGCAAAAGTGTTGTCAAAACAAAGAGAAAAAGCTTTAATAAAAAAACAACGTTTTTACCTCACTGAAGTGATCCACCATCAAATTTCCCTGAACGTTATACGCATTTACATATTGATGATTGGATAGTTCTAAACGAAATGTCAGTATCTGCTACGGAAACACAATCGTACCTGTTACTAAAAGACACAGCTTTTTCCTGCACTCGTCGGTCAACGACTGAGAATTTAGCACTTCGCTTAACCTGTCAATTCGTCTTCTGATGCCTTCTTTGCAGAAATTCTGAAAAAGAAAGTATAAATCATCGCCATTCAGTCACAATGTATCCAACGCATACGCTCAATGAAGGAATAGCGCTCAACTGATTTTCCAATATCTCCAGAATCTGGCTGTTGTTTAGCTCAGGAATGCTATTTTCAGACGGCAAGGAAGACGATGAGCCGGCCATGGCAGAGCCCACTGTCATCGTCATCGCACTTAGAGGTGGAGTAAAATTGCCTAATCCAGAAATGTCTGCCGCCGAATGCGAGGCGATCAGAACATTGCCGCGATCCGAAGCACTGTCTGCAAAAAAAGATATATGAAAAAGATAAAGCTGCATCGCAAAGTATACAACTTACAGTTAGCTAAGTCACCGGGAAAGTTTTGGTAATAAGAATGGTTCCTGAACAAACTGCGCGAGTTGCCATGGCGACAGTGGTCTAAACCACCCGCTGAGATCTGAGGTGGATCGTTCCAGCCTGGAGTAAAATTTCTTGCCATCAAGACCTGAAATATAAAATACAACGCATAAGCGATGAAAGTGCGTCAACGATTTACTGTCTACAATTAACAGAAGGAGCAACTGACATAATCTCTCAAACGTCGTAAGGTAAAAGTGCCTAGCAAAAATGGCAAAAAAGCAGAACTACTAAAAGTACTACAACCACTGATTTTCAAAGAAAACACGTTGATAATGATTGCATCACACGGCTTCAAGAGATCACCATATCGTAATCTTTAGTACTGCCTATTCTTCAGTCCTTAGCTAGGAATCTGGTTTGAAACGAATCGTTTTACGAAGATTTTAAATTGCTAGAACTTAATCAGTCAATTAGTTAGTAGGTTTTTGGCCTTCCTGCACTCGCACGGTCCGATATCATGCATCAGACACTAGATCATGCAATAAGTGTCCAAGATTATCACGAAATTGGCGAAAATAAAGTTGAAAGTGGTGATAGTGATACTAATAAATGTTGATAATGATAATGTAATTACATCACGGTGATAAAACTGATTGTGATATTTATGGCAATGATAATGATTATGACGACTGTGATAATAGTGCTAATGATAATAAAGAAGTGACGCTGATCCTATAAAATAGATCATGACGATTGTTAAAGGAATGATTACAAATGCAGTATTTACACATGATAATGACGATGGTGACTGCGCTGGCGATGACAGAGGTGATGGCATTCACAGGCAGAGTGAGAATGCACATTTGGCATAGCGTCGGACTCATAACCGCGAAAGGACCCGGGTTAAAGTTGGGGTGGGGTCACTCGTGTTTGTACATTCCGAAGTTAATAAATGAGTACAACTATGTGGAAAACAAACAGGGGGGTGCATGACCTTAAAAAATAAGTCACTCCTGGGTGTCGGCATAGAAATACAAATTAGCGCCGTACAACAGTTTCATGAAATAAACGGTGCTACAAATCGCCCCTAATCATGAAAATGTATGGAAGATTTAACATTCTAACGATTAAATATTTTTCTTCTTTGCTACTTTAATGGTAATTAAGATAAAGAGACGACGATGAAAATGATGAAAATTATTAAGGGGCCATGGCAACCACGACTATGATGGTAGTGATAATGATCACCAGTGGTATGATGACAACGATGACCTTGTGGACAGTAAATACTGTGAGGACAATAATAATGGGATTGTGAAGTCAATAACGATAATGATGATGACAATGGGGAAAAGGTAAAAATCATAATTATACTGTTCAACTCAATGTTAGTGATAATTACAGTATCAGTGAGCAATAAAGACGATAAGGACGCGCTGCTAATTGAGAAGCATGATGATAATTACTGCAAAAATATTACAGTAAACGCGTTTTTTATAAATCATAAACGCAACAACAGCCATGAGAAGTGTCGATAAAATGATCCTGCTGATAATAACCGAAGTTCTGATAATGCTGGTAATGATGTTGATGGTAATACCGATGATCATGCCTTTGACACGACGATCAGAGTGCTGAAGAGTATAACGATAAGGAAAACGTCAATAATAATGACGATGATAACGGCGGTGATGAAATAAAAGTTACGGCGATAACACTGATGAAGATAAAGACACTGAAAATGATGATACTGATGATGATCT